GCAACTGCCCTACTCCACGCTGTATCACCCATCACACTGCATTGGCAAGACAACGTCGGGGCGGCTGACCTTCCCTCCGATGACGCAACGTTAGTGTCTGTGTGAATAATACGCGTACTGGTTTCTAACAAAGGGTTGTGGCCTAGGCTAAGTGTGGGGCTGTTCCCTCACCCTTCTGAGATTTAAGGATTGTGTGTGTGTGTATGCAATGCCACGCTTCAGCAAACCATGTTCCCTGCGGCCTGGTGTGCGATGACAGCCTCGTGGATCTGATTCCCTGTCAGTGTATGCGCTTGCGCTCCCACTAGGCTTACAAGCCACATACCTGGTTGCCCGATTACTTGTATCTTCTCTCTGATTCAGAGGAGTGGTGATGGTGCCTAGCGAATCTGCGGACGGCGTGATGGCGGTGGTGTCTGTCACGCTCTCGTCTATGTAGTCGCAAGGGCCAATTAGATAGTCATTTCGTGCTTGTTTTGCGAGCCATCGGTTTGTGCGCCACTTTTATTGGGTGTTTCCGCAAGTGTCTTTCAACGAGTTCAGACACATTTCTTATATAAGGGAGGACTCGCCATGTATTTGTTTTGGGCGCTTGAGTGGAACTATCTGGTTCCTTTTTGTTGCGTTGTTGTTGTTTCATTCATCGGCGTATAAAGCTTCTGGGGAACCATTTCGGGAAAACAAATCAAACAAGTAATTGAGCTCCATTGGGTAGGTTTGTTTGTCAGAGCAGTATGTCTTTGTTCGATGTAGCAGACTATTGACGGCACTCCATTTGTGAGAGATATCGTTGTTGCCCTCATAGTTTAGAATAACTTCCGCATATGTTTCTTTGCGGTAAACGGATGCTTGTAATGTTCCGTCAGTATTTCGCTGCACGAGAACATCCAAAAAGGGAAGTTTATTGTTAACCTCTTTCTCGAATGTGAATTGAATGCCCGGAATATTTGAGTTGATGGTATTGTGGAGCGCTTCGAGCTGCTCCTTTTTAACGACAATAAATGTGTCGTCTACACATCTTACCCATAACTTAGGGTTAATCGATGGAAGAGCCGTTGCTTCTGGTTTCTGCATCGCTATTTCCGCAAGGAATCCAAGTGAAAAATTAGTTTCTAGGTAGAGGTCCGCAATTTCAAGTAAAGCACCTACAGGAACCTTCGTTTCGTAAGTCCTCAGAGCTTCCTCTGCGCATTGCCTTGCCACATCAAGTGGTATGGAAGTGAATAGGGAAACAACGTCGAAGGAGAGCATTACCTCATCATCGGAGACTGTGATTCCCCTTAGGTTCTGCGAAAACTCGGTAGAGTTCTGAATGGAAGTTTCGCAATCTTTCGTAAGTGGATGAGGTTGACGAAATAACCACTAAGATATGTTCTAGTTTGGTGCGCTAATTAATGAAACTATCGGTCGCAGAGGAACTTCCGGTTTACGCCCCTCGAAAAATGGCCGAGAATTCCTCAAAGCCATGCACTCCGACGATTCATGCATCAACCGGCACGTCGAGTTGGATGGTATTTATAAGCCTGTCAAAGAACGATGGAAAAAAGAGGCCGCACGACAGACACTAACTGAGGCCACACCCACCAATCATGTCTCACTCTATATGACTATTGATTTTTTCGGCAGTTTTGAAATTTTAGTCTTTTATTGCACTTTTCCTGTTAGTCCGAAAACGAGTTGGGGCGCCAAACTCGAAAATTCACTCATCAACGTTGCTTTTTATCCCAGAGAACGTCTTCTTCAAATTAAAATTTATTGGGATACGTGTGTCCCAGTTTATACGAATAAAGTCCACTTTCACTATAATTCAGTGTCAGTCACCCCATTTGCATTCAGCTTACTGAAGCTCGTGGTGGACCGTCGTCGAAATTGACGGTCGAACTGTCGATCGGTTTCTAACCTGCGCAAACCAGGCTCTATTTGACTTTGGATTTCAGCCAAGTGTAAGCCTGCATCAGGGCGAAATCACTTATAGTTTGATTCTCGCTGTAGATGAGGAATGAATTACTTGTTGCTCGGCAGTCTTCCAATCGATGACCATTTTCACGTCGTTATAAATCAAACAAAACAGATTTGTTAAAACGAGGTATGCCACCTTTGGACCGGCCTAATTTCCTCTCTCAAAGAGCAAATTCTTGCTTGATGATTAAAAAATAATTTTGAACTATTTAAGTTCGTTAAATCACAGGTAAGTTAATTTATTCCTACGTTAGTACCAGTTATCGAGTTATGTTTTTTAAGTTTAAAAGAGTTAATTGCTAATATTAACGAAGTCAGTCGTAGGTAAAGACAACGACAGGGTCGCTGTTGGTTGTTCTGAAGAAGAACTTTTTCACTAGGCATTTGCTATCGTAAGCCGACCTACCTTAGATGTCTCGGTTTTCCCAGTTCCTGCGGGTCCCTCAGGTGCTCCGCCGAGATTCAACTTTATAGCACCCATCAAGGTTCGGTAGCATCTGTCGGTCAGCGGTGTAATGACTAACCGGGGGCTGTTGCCGAGATATTCATAGCTTAAAGAGAGGAATCACTTATAAAGTTATAGGTAACAAAAGAAGTACACTGAAATGGGCATTCTTTCACTTTGTTTATAGCCGCAAATAAACAATGCGCTGTCACCAGTGGCCATTAATCACTGATATAAATTGTAAAAGATAATATTAATTTGAGGCAACCCGTCTACCCCTTCTAACTTCCTGAGCTAAGAAAGGTGCATATATCGCTTCTGCGACTACCACCTTTTTTAATGAAACGATAGGCAAGAATATTGTGCCAGCCTTGCCAAACCACTCAAGTTTGAAATCAATAGAACTATTGCTCTGAGTCAAGCCAAAAGGTGTAAACAAAGCAAAACTACGTCTACTGAAATGCCTGTAGAAGGCATTTAAATATTTTGCTAAAGTCATCCGCTACTATTGTTACTTGTGCTCTAAAGTGAACGCACAATCCTCTAAGATGTGAATCTTGTGATTTCTCAGTTGGTATTGCTTAGCTGGGAGAGAAAGAGCAAGAGCTGAGAACGACAGAGGCATTCCTTCCCTACTTTAATATCTTTTCAGCTTTTTAACAAGGTCGCCTAAGCGTCTGACTGCTGGAAGGAGCCATAACTTCCTACCGTATCCTCGTCGACTTTAAATAACAGGGGACATTTAAATTTTCAGAGCTCTGGCGGCAGCACGATTGCACCTTTGCGCCTAACTAATGTGCCTGTCTTAGTACTAAATTTGCGGGCATCTACAAGGCTCCAGGAAAAGAAGGTAATTTTTATCAACGGATTGAACCTTCTCCTCATAACCATTAGCACGATTTTTGTAAAACTTGACTTTCTCAAGGCACGCGGGGAAACGCAGACCTCGGGTTAAAAAAACAAGACTTCCTCTTATGTAAGCATAATAGGAACAAGCCGGTTTCGGACTTTTGCTTGTAGCGTCTAAGCAGTGTTTATACTTGGAACACTACAATCTCTGGGCAAATCGCCAGTAGTAGGTAAAAGGCAGAAGGAACCTGTGAAGAGATTTATTGTATACAGAACTCCTTGTTGCTATCTCAGACGGCTATAGCCCCTGACGAAGCCAAAGCTAATGTTGACTGCACCCGGCCAGGTCTGATTATGGAGCAGGTTTAAGTTGTCTCCAATTGGTGCGTGTGATACCCTAATAGCATTGCGCGCGTTACCGTATTAGACAAACATGCGCCTCGCGCGTGCTTGGTTTTCATTGGCTGGGATAATTACGTAATCGATAGGTGATTGGCCTATCGATTTTTGCATGCTCTCGCGAGCAGCGGACGCAGATAATCTATTATCCAAGGGTGTCGTGTCTGGTGGCGTAAGTTGCATCGGCCGAGGATGAGAAAAAGTGACATGTTCAAGTGCCGCTTGGGCAGCCCCGACTACCTGGACGCACCTGTGTGGAAGTCGGTCAAGTGTTTGCTGTGCAGCGCGTCTGAAAGCGCTCACTGCGACAGTGAATGACCTTGAGGCAACTGACCTAGAACCAGGACGCCGAACACACCAATTTTGGGCGCCGGCTACATACCTTCCCCCCCTCCCCGTTCTGGTGTGCAAATACTTTGTTGACATTTTGCAGTGACTGGTGGGCTAATCGCCACATTCCAGGTATCGGACGAATGAATAAGGATAACCGCTTAGCAAGGCCCACAGCATTTTTTGATGGGCAGCTGGCTGTAACCACCACGAAGTTTCTCTGCGTAATACTAATCGCAGAAAAAAGCAGTCAGGATCAAGGGCTGCGGTCGTGCTCTAGAAGAAGTCGGCGACTGGAGGTCGTAAGCTGGATAACTGAAACTCCTTTCCCTGTGCAGAATGATTCTTGGATACTACCCAACAAAATGTGACAAAGTAAACTTGTCCGTTTATTCAGATCAGCATGGAGTCTCTTCGCGTACTTAGATTCGATAGGACCTATTGGAGAGGGAAGTCAAGCTATCGTTTTTGAAAGCTTGGATGTCAGAAGGCACGGCAGGATACTGGCGGTTAAATATTCCGTTAGTTATTGGCACTACGCCAACTTATACCCTCCATGATGATATTTTCCTGTTTCATAGAGCAAATTGTCTTGAAACTTTCAAATGAGAAGATGGTATACTGTTGATCTGCCAGACTTAGCTTTATCTACTACATTCGGGAATTTCTTAGACACAGTCTTTGATAGCCCCTGCCAGTATCGTCTCGGCGGTGTGGAAACAGCTTCTTTCGGTCATAATTTATAAGTTTATATGAATTGATGTTCCAATTTCTCTTCATGAGAACTATTATGCCTGCAGCCTTTAAAGCAAATAAACTGTACCAGTTTATGGTCCGCTTCTGAGTGTACATTCAGAGGCACGTACTCATTGGGTAGAGATAATCATTTTATCTCTGTGTAGAAAAGTCTGTTGTGTCATATTTACTTAACCGAAATGAAAAGAACTGCCAGTAGACCAAAATACCCAAGTAGGTGCAACATCTCCTAGCACTTTAGGGCTACCGGTGTACTGAGAACTTTCAAGACTTACTTACTTAAACGGGACTGTCAAAAGGTACTTTCAAACTAAACTGCAACAATTTACTGGACAAAACGAGAATTCACTGGTTTGAATGGTAGAAACAATATACCCATAACAGAGTTCCGTGGTAATCAACTGGACGTAGACGTCGTTGTTGTTTTCGGCACTGAAAACATAACGCAGTTGGCTCAGCCACTCGAACGAGGTGATTGAATTCACCTGGATTTCTGCCAGGTGGCCTAGGACATCGCGGGCTGAAATAAATAAAAGACACATCAATTAATAACAGTGTCTACATGAACGAGTACAAGTAGCTATAATTCATTTTATTATATACCGTGGACGTCAAGTACGGTTAAAGCACCCAGAGTGAGCCTTTCGCCGCTTGTGAGCGGACCACGAACAAGATCAACAATGTCGTCAATCTGTCTGTCACACTTTGCCTTCTGTTCAGGAAGTTTGCCATCCAGGATTGCCTGTGACACTTCGGTAGTCCAGAAAATACAGGACACACAAAGGACTACCTAGGAGGAAAAATAAGACATGGTCATTCTTCGGAACGTTTATGTTAAAGATAAAAATAAATTCTAGACAGTAGAATGAACTGTGAACGAAGAAGCCTTAAATATCTGCTAGTCAATCGAAATAGATGTTCTGCTAGTGGCTCGCATGTTACCTGAAGTACTCGTAGATGGGGCTACTCGACACCCGAGGCTCCGCTGTATTATGCCAGCTGAATTAGAATGAATGAAAATTCCTGAAACGCACTGCTGCCATCGTTCCGTTTATCATGTTGCCCTTGATTTGTGTATACTCCGTTCTATTTGTCCTTAGAATTGATGTCAATTTGGACCTCGATATATATGTATAAGCTTTCAACCTTCATTCAATTGAGGGGGATTCTTAGATTGTTAAGAAGGCCCAATGCTCGGATGTCCTTCGTATTTAATGAGATTAAACTCCCCCTGATACGCGAGATATATTAGTCAGTGGCGAATACAAGATGTATAAACATCGGTCATAAATAGGTTTCAATAATCGCAACAGTCTGGTGAAAGTGTTGTAGTGGTTCTATAGCCCATCTCCTTCAAATTCGAGACGCCACTGACGTGTACGCCCAGGGTAAATCTTGGTCGCCCAGTCGCGGCTTTCCCAGCGCGATGGCCCAGTCCGCACCGACGCGCAACCTTTGCCCTCGCACGACCGAGTGCATAGACGCGC